TAAATAGAAAAAATTACAAAAAAACCGCTTATCATTGTTTGCCCTTGAAAATATTTGAAGCTTAGTTTGACATTAAAACAATTGAGGACTGTCATTTGCCAACATTTCTATTCACTTATAGGCTAAGGCAATATTAAATATAATAAATTCATAATTATGAATAAGGAAAATGTAATGTCTACATTATTAATGCCGAAAAGCAGCTGAGATGTGCCAAAAATCAAAAATTAATATAAGATGCAAATAATATAACATGCATTTGACAAGTGATGCAGTCTGCGCATGCGTCTGACGTGCGCGTGGTTTTGCTTTTGCTTGCAATAATTTTGTTTGCGCACTTTGCGAACAGATTCGCCGTACGAATTCGCGCAAAGAAGCGAGCCATAAGTGATTGCGCTCAAACATATTCAATTTGCAGTCGTTTTGCCTTACTATACTAAGTCGCAATACAAAAAAATTATTTAGAAGTTTCATTGTGTCAAAAATTCATATGTTTGTCATTGGGTACGGAATATTTACTCAATGGAGCGCTTTGGGTCTGAACTTTTTACTATTTTCCAATTCGTTTGGAATTTTGGAACTAGGTTCATCTTACTCTTCAGAAGTGAAAACAATTTAGACTCCTTTACCACTTCTCGGGTGGATGGACATTTCTTTTCAGTGGTGTAATTTTACTTTTTTCAAAATAACGTTGGGTATCGATAAAAGAACTAATTATACGAGAAAAATATTTAATAATGTTTTTTCAAAAAGGAAATACTTTTCAAGTTACTGGCTACTGAATATTTGTTTCTTTTTTGCGTTTTTCATCATTTGTTGCTAACAACCTTCAAAAATAAACATTTTAACGAAAATCATGTAATGACAGAATTATATCAATTAAAATCTTAATAAACGTTATTTTATAGTGTTTTAGGAACATTATTAGGCTAGATATGAAAATGGGTTTTTATAGTGCTCAAAATAAGCTTTAAAATGAGTACTTCTGCGTGTAAAATGAGTGAGCTATCATGCAGATAAAGGACGCATGCAATTTTTTTTTTTTTTCATTTAAATCAAATACTTTGAGTGCCATATCCACCAAAATTAAAAATAATCGTATTCAATCTAGAATTAACTTGGTTTAAGAGATCTTGATGGATTCTAGAAATACCACAACTTTAGTACAAATGATTCTTAAAAAACTCATGATTTCATGAAAAAAAAACATTTAAAAAAAACAACCAATTTCTCATCAAATACCTCTGAAAGAATACGTATAAAAGTATATATATAAGAAAATTCGAGGTATTTTTCTGACTAATTATTATTGTTTATTATTTTTTTCGTTACACAAATATTGATAGATGTATGATTATTAAGGAGCTGTCCAACCAGAGGTCTTTCGAGCCCTTTAAAACCCTTCGCCGTTTTACAATAAGAGAAGTTACGGTAAAATTAATGATAGAGAAAGTTGTAGCTCATTTAATCACCTTAAAATAGTGTATTACAAGTTCTGATAAAATCAGAATTAAAAGAGTAATAATCCAATTAATGCTGTGGATGGTGACGGAGTGCAAATTGTTAAAAACATTGAAATTAAGATAAAGATTAGCCTATTTCAAAATATCAAGTAAATTGGAGCACAGTAAAAAAAATTTACAGAGCAATAATTTTGTTGATCGTAAGTTGAATAGAGCACATGTGAACAGGATTTGACAAATAATTCACTTCAAATATAAACTTAAGCAATAATGTATATTGATTTATTAGAGAAAAAAATGCAATTTAGATATTAAAATTAGCCAGTTAAAATATGGTACAAAATTATAAAAATTATAGGCAACATTATTGAAGCATTATTTTGGTGAGAAAATAAAAGGTGATATTGCACCTTTGCCGCGAATGCTATATATTAATTCTTTCTGAATTTGTTGTACTTTTTAAAAGATTTCATTTTCAACATGAGTATCTTATGCTATGACCATAAATCAAAAAAGCAGACGATCATTTTTAGTGTGATAAATTTGGAAATCAATGTTTTAGTCGTGAATAAACAAAAAATCATTCATTTATACATCCACATCTACAGGTATGGCTAAAAATACTATATAACCCTTAAATGCAATAAATAAATTGAGCTATTGGAAATAAATTTGTTCTATAAATCGCAGTGTATAATTTTTAATATACAATTTTATTGAACATTTTTTAATATTTGTTAAATAATAATTAAAGTGTTAACTGTGGGAATTGAGAACAATCATTTTATTTGAAACAGTTCTACATTCAACATCACTTATATATTGTGTAAATAGTAATTCAAAAAACAGTAATTATTATTTTTTAACTAAGCAGTAAATATTAGTATAAAATATTGAAAAATTGTAGACGTAGGTACAGAACAACGTCTGTCGGGTCAGCTAGTATATATATATATATATATAATATATATATGT